CCCTTCAGTCTTCTATCTGACCTCCGTCCTCCCCTTCAGTCTTCTATCTGACCTCCGTCCTCCCCTTCAGTCTTCTATCTGACCTCCGTCCTCCCCTTCAGTCTTGCACAGTTGTAGCGGCTCCTCTCCTGGACCTTAATGGCTTCCTCTGATGTCACTGCACACTGGGAGCTTCTCACAACGATAACTGCCAACGATTTGAGAAGAATGAAACGTGAAGCTCCCAGGAAGCCGTTATCCTCCGGCGCCGTCCTATTCCAGAGCTGCGACCTACCTGGAGGGCCCAGGAGTACAAGGTGCTCAGAGACATGGCCGAGGTGAGGAAACCCGACCACCACTGATGAAATGTCAGGACTGGGCCAAGAAATATCTGAAGACGGATCCTACAAAGGTTTTATGGACTGATGAGATGAGAGGGACTCATGACGGATGGATGGGCCTGTGGCTGGATCAGTAACGGGCACAGAGCTCCACTTCCACTCAGACACCAGCAAGGTGGGGCGGGGCTTAGTGGTGTTGGTACTGGTGGGCTGGTATTATTAATGATGAGCTAGTTGGACCTTTTTTTCGGGTTGAAGATGGACTCAAAATCAACTCCCAAACCTACAGCCAGTTTTTAGAAGACGCTTTCTTCAAGCAGCGGTCCAGGAAAAAGTCTGACCGTGATATGGATGCAGGGCAATGCTCCATCGCATGCATTCAAGTCCTCCACTGCGTGGCCAGCCAGTAAAGGTCTTAAAGATGAAAGAATGACATGGCCGCCTTCCTCACCTGACCCAAACCATACTGAGAGCTTGTGGGCCCTTCTTAAACGGGAGATTTACGGTGAAGGAAAGCAGTGCACCTCTCTGAACAGTGTCTCTGAGGCCGTGGTTGCTGCGGCACAAAAAGTAGATGGCCAACAGATGAAGAAACGGACAGACTCCATGGGTGGGAGGCTGAGGGCTGACAGACTCCATGGGTGGGAGGCTGAGGGCTGACAGACTCCATGGGTGGGAGGCTGAGGGCTGACAGACTCCTTTTTTTTTTTTTTTAAATGTCAGAAATGTTTATTTGTTCATTTTGAGTTGTTTATTCTTCTCACTTTAACAGATGAAAACAAACAAGTGAGACGGAAACATTTTCCTTTTCCATTTAGTTGCATAATAATCCTGCACACTGATAGCTGCCCAGTAATTGTGCGCACCCAAATATCCTCCTCCTAATACAGCCGAAACCTCCCTTTTACTTTCCTCAATATTCAGGTTTGAGGTCTATTAACACTTTGGACCGAGAGCTCTGTTGTTGTTCAATAATGAACGTAATCCTCAAAAATACAACTTGCCGAATAATTGTGCGCGCAGTGTATGTGTGTGTGTGTGTATGTATATACACTGAGTGGCCGGATTATTATATACACCGAGTGGCCAGATTATTATATACACTGAGTGGCCGGATTATTATATACACTGAGTGGCCGGATTATTATGACCACCTGACGTTTGTAGGCAAATGAGCTATAATTTGGCGCTGAAGTTGCTAGAGGGCCAGACCATTATAAATAGGGAAGCAGGTTGTTTACCACGACAGTAGAAGTGATTTGTTTCTGAAGATACGGGGAAACAACGCGATGTAACAGCCTTTGAACGTGGGATGATTGTTGGCGCTCGGAGCCATGGAGCGAGTATCAGCAAAACAGCAGAATTCGTTACATGTTCAAGAGGGGCTCATTGTTAAAGTGTTTAAAGACCGGACTG